TAGAGTCCTTGATCCACATCAATATCTATATATAAATATAATGAATAATAATAATAAATTACTTTTTACTGCTAGGTAAAAAAAAAAAAAAGAAATGATAAGATGATCTGAATTAATAATGGCAATCACTTTGGTTGCAGTGATATTATACACATATATACAAATTCTTGAAGTTTTAAAAAGTGACCCAAACAGAAATATATAATTCTAGATTTATTTTTTAGTTTCATAAACGCTATTTTCTTTCAAGTAAAACAAATTTAAAATATAAAAGAAAAATATTAAGAAAATTAAAAATGTTTAATCATCAAGATGTCATCTATTAATTTTAAGGATATAAATCTCTTACTAAATTAAAGTGATAGTAGTTAAATATTAATTCATTGAAATTTCAAAAAGTGACCCAAACAGAAATATATAGTTCTAGTTTTATTTTTCTGTTTCATAAATACTATTTTCTTTCAAGTAAAACAAATTTAAAATATAAGAGAAAAAATATTAAGAAAATTAAAAACATTTAATCATTAAGATGTCATCTATTTATTTCAAGGATATAAATTTCTTAATAAATTAAAGTAATAGTAGTTAAATATTAATTCAATAATAAAAAAGAAAATAAAAAATTATTATTAAAAATAAAAATCTTTTCACAACTCGATATATAATAAGAAATAAATTATATTACAAAATTATCAATTTGAATTTCAAAAATCAACCCATTCTTCAATTGAAAAAACCATAATTGAAATTTGATGTTGGTGGATTAAAAAAAAATGATCAAAGCCAAGTCAATAAATGTAAATTACAAAGCAAATCATGCTAGAATTTAATATTAGTCAATTAATGAATTTATTTAATGTTTTGTTTCTCGTAAGTTGTAAATTTAAAATAAATAAATTAATTAATTAATAAAAAGATTACATGAAAGAAACATTCCATTCTCTTCAAATAAACCATCAATTTTTCCTACAATCATATAAAAAAATTTTTTCTTCTCCTAAATAAAATATTTTAATCAAAATAAAATCAAATATTTAAAAAATAAAATATAAAAATTTTCAAATGTCTCATTATAATATATATTTATTAAAAAATAATAAACCATCAAATTTTTCCTCAGATCATTAATAAAAAAATTTTTTCTTCTCCTAAAATAAAATATTTTAATCAAAATAAAAATCAAATATTTAAAAAATAAAATATAAAAAATTTTTCAAATGTCTCATTATAATATATATTTATTAAAAATAAATTTAATAAAAAAATTTTAAACAGTTTGAAATTGTTAATTATGCTATACTGTTGTGTTTATAAAAAAAAAGATTACTATAAAAGAAACGTTCTAAATCATCTCCTAATAAATCCTCAATTTTTCCTACACTACAAAAAAAAAAAAAAAAAAAAAAACTAATATAGTTTTTTTTTCTTTTTATTCCTATCTAAATAAATATTATGTAATATTCTATTTGAAAATGTTATTTTTTTAAAAAAATATATTCCAATCAAATTAATTAAGCAAAACATAAAGAATATTATGTATATTCTATTTGAAAATTTATTTTTTAAAAAAATATATCCAATCAAATTATACAAACATAAAGAAAAAAAGAATATACTTTTTCTCTCTCCTAAATAAAATATTTTTAATTATAATCAAAGTTCTTAATTATCTATATGTATTTATTTTAAAAATAATTTTTATAAATTATATGCAATTAACTAATAAAATGTAATTTTCTAATTGAGTATGATTAAGGCTATTTTAGAATATTTTAAATTTCATTAAGGACGATATCAAAAATCTCAATATTCTCCATATTTTCGCATTTATATAGTATAGATAGATAGATATGTTGTCATTTCTAGCATTGTTGCAGCTACCTTCAAACAATCAGTGGCTTTGATTTTTTTACCAAGTGGTTCATGCAGAGTCACTTCTTACAAAAAAATTTGATTATGGAGGTGAGCATATATATATATTTATTTATTTATTTATTTGTATATAATGTAACTATATATATTTTTTAAAAAAGTATTTACGATCAATCCTCGTTAGAAATTATTTTATTTCAAAGTAGTCAAAAAATATTTTTGAAAAACGGACACGTTCGAATCCGTTCGCAGGCTCGCTGCAGACAGGGCCAAGCCTGAATATTAGAGGCCCGTTTTTAATGAGCTCTTTTAGCTCGACCATTTTGGGATTGAGTGTGCATGGGCCTGGGCGGGGTTAGACAGCCTGTCAAATAGGCTGTGCTATTATTTATGAAGAAATCTTTAAGATCATGCTATGTACATAATAAAGATCGACTCTCTTTAACACTTCCTTCTCAAGTTGGAGAATAGATTTTAGTCATATACAAGTTGTTATAGATAGAGTTGACATGAGCAACATTCAAACTTTTTGCGAAAATATCTCCCAATCGGTCTCAAGTTTTAATATGAATTACGAAGATAAGCTTTTCTTGAATTTTATTGCAAATAAAATGACAATCAATCTTCATATCAATATGCTTGGTGCGTTCATGAAATACTAGATTAGAAGCAAATGAAATTCAACTTGATTATCACACAATAATTTAGCAAATAATGAAGATTTAAGATCAACTTCATTCAACATTTGATACACCCATCCAGTCTCACACACATATTTTATTATGGCTTTATACTCTGATTTTGCACTCTTTCGAGAAAACACAAATTTTGTTTCTTACTTCTCCATGAAATCAAATTCTCCAACAAATACAAACTATCCAGTTCTATATCTTTTGTCAACTTTAGATCATGCACAATCTGCATTGAATAATACTAAATATTAGAATGTTCATGATTTGAATATAACATACCTCATCCTAAAGCTCCCTTCAAATAACATAAGATCTATTATAAGGCTGCCCAATGATTTAGTATTGGATTATACATAAACTAACTTAAAATACTCACTGAATGCACAGTATTGAAACTAGTCAGTGTAAAATAGTTCAACTTATCAGCTAGTCTTTTGTACTTCTCAGGATCTTTTTTTTTTTCAAGTTGTAAATTGGGTGTCATAGCGTATTATACGGTTTAGGACTTTATTTTTTCCATCAACAAGTCAATAACGTATTTCCTTTGAGACAAAAGAATACTTTCTTGTACTTGACTACCTCAATACCCATTAAATACTTCAATAGACTCAAATCTTTCGTCTAAAATTGGGAGTGAAGAAAGAATTTGATGATGTTATGCCTACCTCTAATGTCACTGTCAGTAATAACAATACCATCAACATATACAACTAACAGAATTATACTGGCCTTAGAATTTTTACAGAATACTGAATGATCACACTTATTCTTTTGCATTCCAAATGCTTGAACTGCCTCAGTAATCTACCAAATCAAGCAGAGACTCTATTTTAATATATGTAATGATTTACGAAGATGACAAGACCAAGTATGGAGACTCTATTTTAATACATATAATGATTTATGAAGATAACAAACTTTCACATATTCCCCCGAGTTGTTGCTTCATATAAATTTCCTCGTGCAAATTACCAAGCAAGCATTCTTAATATCAAGTTGATACAAATGCCAGATACAAGTTGCAATTAAAGAGATAAGATACCAACCTAATCCAAATTGTAAAAATTAAATTTTACTTTATTTTAATCTTTATATCAATGTTTACCCTAATTATCATCATTTCTTACAATATTACTCCGAATTATAACTAGGATTTGAATCATAAATAAAAAATTCTTTCCTACAAGCTCAAAACTAACATTAAATCTTAACCTTGGCTATCTTAATTATTGTATAGATTAAAATTTCATTGTTTCAATTTAAGGTAAGAAATCAAAAGCTCAGGTTTTTTAGGGTAATTATTTATAGGCTTTAGCTTTTGTTCAAATACACTAATAAAGACTCCATTTTTCAAAATTATACGATATAATTCTTACATTATAATTCCCTTATCCTATAAGGTCCAATCGTAAGTTAGTGAATATAAAATATCAGAAGTATCCTAAAAATTATTAGTAATGTGAATGTGTATTTGATAAAAACTTAGGCTCTATTTGTTATAATTGTTTATTTTGATTATTTATTTATTTATTAGAAACATGAAATAATTTTTAGTTTTGATTACATATTTTTTAAAAATTATTTTTTCTAAAATTTATTTTTCTTTTTTTTTTTGTTCACAATGTGAAAAAGTCTTCCAATTATCAAATCTCTCTTTTATTAAGTCATTAAAGATTTTAGTTAATATAAAATTTATTTTTCTTTTTTTTTTTGTTCACAATGTGAAAAAGTCTTCCAATTATCAAATCTCTCTTTTATTAAGTCATTAAAGATTTTAGTTAATAATAAATTTTCTAAAAATCCAAAATTTCAGATGAAATAATTAAAAATATTTTATAATTTAATTTTAAAATTTCAATGTTACAGAGTAACTATTAATTATTATGTTAAATAAAAATATAATACCTAAATATATAATAAATAAATAATACTAAATGACATTAAATTTATATAGATAAAGAAAATAATAATAAATAGAGAAGAGATAGAAAAATAAAAGCTAAGAATTTGAATAGAGATAAAAACATATGCTTTTATATTTTGAAATAAATGACATTAGATTTATATAGACAGAGAAAATAATAATAATAATAACAAAAACAACAATAATTTTATGAGAATAAATCTTATAAAGATGAAGAAAATGAAAAATATAAAATTAAAAATAGAAAACACAATTCTATAAACCACTATTTATAGTTTCATAAAATTTATTTTTTATTTTCAAAACAATTTTCTTAAAAATAAAAAAATTAAATAAATTTAAACAAACAGATTTTCTTTATTTCTTTTAAAAAAAATAAAAAATAAAAAATTTAATCGAAAACAAACCGTACCTTCTAAACTCTGAGTTAATTTTTTTTTTTTCTTCCCGTAAGGAAGCGTAATCGAGTCAATGGAGAGAGGGAGTGTCACTATGTCGGAGGTACCCCGGCCGCATTCCAAAATTTTTTCTAAAAATTTATCCCTAAAATATTAAACATTTTGTTTTCGCGCCCTAACTTTTATTTCTGGGTTAGTCACTGGATCGAGTCCTTGTGCATTGAGCTTATGAATTGCTAGAGCTTTCTCGTATCAGTAAAACAATCTAATTTTTGTGCAGCATATTTTCTTTGAAGGGTCTATCCTTTTCTGGAGTTTCTCAACCTTGGTCTCGCAATTGAAAGGGTAACTGATGTGTCGTGTGATAGGAACGACAATGTATTGTTGGATAGGGTCTTTAACTGATTGTTGAAGTGGTTTTCTCGTTTTTACTTGTTTTGAGCTCCTTCTTTGCCTGATCTTGCTTTCGCCACTGAGAATCTCTTTATTCAGGTGTAATTTTTTTTTTTTTCAAGTTTTGAATTTTTGTTCTTTTTTGTCTTTGATTACAAGTTAAGCTTTTGGGTGTCCCATTCTAGGTCTTCTCTTCCTATCAATTTTGAGGTTCCTATCTAAAATGCTCTGTTTATAATACTTTTTGTTAGATAACGTTCAAATTGCAGGCCTGAAAGAGTGAGAGAATTGGAAGTGATTCCTAGAAATGGAAACGACGCCATGTCCTTCAACCCCTCGCTGGAACATTGAGAGGCCCTTCCTCACCGGCCGTTTCCACCAGGTTTCTTCACAAATCATACTAACAAATGAACTGATTAAAGCACACTCGCTATTGTTGCTTTCAAATTGCATATCCGCTTGCTGCATTTTACTTGATTTTGTTTTTTTTTTTTTTTTTTTTTTTTTTTTTTTTTTTTTGTTTTTTTTTTTTTTTTTTTTTTTTTTTTTTTTTGTTTTTTATATATTAGGTGAAAATATACCATGTTTTACATAATTTTTCCTCCACTTTTTGCTTCTTAAGGCAAATAAGGCAAAATTGAGATAAATTTTTAAAAAATTGGTGGACTTTCGAATTTTAAGTTCACTAGCTAAAATATGTTCTACTTTGTGATTTTTTTTATGGGTTATCAATTAGGAGACAAAAGGAATCTCGAGATTTGCTGATATAAAGGGACTTCCCATGGATTCCTTTAGGTAAGCTCATTTATTTGGTTCAGTTTTATCTTTTTTTTAGTCATTATTGTGAATAATCTCCTTTTTCTTTTTGATATTAATTCTAAGCAAATTATTAATCTGAAATTGAATATTTTTAATTTGATGAGTTACAATGAGCTTACAGGAATTCTTAGTTTAATACAATTTTTGTGTGCGTGTTAGCAGCTCTGGATCAGACAAGGCCATTGGCTGCTATGATGCAGCTGTTCAGGTGTGTCTAGTGACTCTTTGCAATAGTCAGTTTTCTAGATGTTCTTGCTTTGATTTTCATTTTTCTTTCTTTTGTTGATAATGGGATTTAGAAATGTTATATACTTTAAGTTAATGATTATTTTGAACTCTCTGAATATCTTTGATATCTCTAGGTATGATTTTTTATTTTTGTTGCTAATATTTGAAATATTTTGGGAGGCTGACGAATCTTTGTATCAATTTTTGGCTTGCAATTTTATTTGTGTATGATGTTTATTTCTCTTTTAGCTAAGGAAAATCCAATATTTGGGAATGGATTGCAATCATATTTGTGTCCTTACCCCAAAAGGCAAATTGATCTTACCTTCCATTGCTTAGGATATTTTTGAAGTTCTGAAATTGCATAAAGAATTTTTTTTTTTTTTTTTTTTTTTTTGCTTAGGAATATTTTTGAAGTTCTTTGAAATTTGCATAAGAATTTTTTTTTTTTTTTTTTTTTTTTTGGGAATTGGATTATTTTCTATTTCCTCTCTAAGAAAATACACACAAATGTTCGGGAACTATATGCAACTTTTAATGGAATTTGTTTCAAGACCTTCGTTCTTAAAAATGGTTTTGGGATCTCATAAAGATAGACATTACTTTACATTCATATCTTTGGTTGTATTTACGGAGTTTTTTTTTTTTTTTTTTTTTTTTTGGGAATTGGATTATTTCTATTTCCTCTCTAAGAAACATACACACAAATGTTCGGGAAGCTATATGCAACTTTTATGGAATTTGTTTCAACGACTTCGTTCTTAAATGGTTTGGGATCTCATAAAGATAGACATACTTTACATTCATAATTTGGTTGTATTTTACGAGAATTGATAGTTTGTCCATGTTTTAAACAGGAACTTATTGTCATCAATGATCTCATGTCTGCTTTGGTTGGAATTGAAGGACAATATATTTCAATCAAAAGAGTCCATGGAAAGGAGGACGTTATGACTTTCCAGGTTGATGCTTCAATGGATTTGGCACTGCAGGTACTGTTGCTGTACGATTGGAATTTAGTACCTTGTGGAAGTATGGATGGACTTTTAAGTTTAACCTTTTCATTTCGTTTGATTCTGGTCTAACCATTTTTCATTTAGGTATGTTGTAACCTAGTTGGCTGTTTGTTGGTTGTTGGATTGCTGTGTTCATTGAAGAATTGAGCAAATGAAACTACATTTAGCATTGTATTTTATTCAATATTGGCTTTATTTATTTATTTTTCTTTCAGTTTGAAATAAAAATATAATTTTAGGATGTTTCATAAGGATTGATGCAGCAACAGTACACTTTTTAAGTTTGATTTCGTTCTCTAGAGATGGATGTAAATTTGTAAAACTTAATTTTGAATGGATCAATATGTATCTGTCAAATTGTATGAAAGAAGCTCTGTCGAACTTTTGCCTTTATAATTGTCTTATTAAGAAAGTTTAGAATCCAATGATGTTTATCGTGGATTCAACTGATTTATGATTATTTCAGAAGCAGCCTTTCCAAATCATTTGAATTGATGAATGCACATTATTTCAGGAATTAGCGAATCGAATATTTCCCTTATGTGAGAGCTTTCTATTGATTGACCAGTTTGTTGAGTCAAGATCGCAATTCAAGAATGGCATAGTTAATCATGCCTTCGCTGCTGCACTCAGAGCACTTCTTCTAGTAGGTTCTTTGTGCTGTAAGTCGTGATTAAAAGTATGTTGTATTGTGGCTGTTGCATGTTTGTGTTCATTTTATCTGTAATAATTGGAACCTTGGCTGCTCCTGTTGCGTATTCCTTTGCTTATCCCATCTGTTCCACTAAGTTTAACACTTTTTGATTTTTATATGACGCTTTAGAAAATCAAGATAATATAAATTGTTTTATTCTGAGTTTACTCTTGTCTAGATATCTCCATCCATATCTAGAGAATTAATAAAAGGGTAGTTGTCAATAAAATTGTTCTTTTGCTATAATTGAGGTGGTTCAATTATTTTCTTAATCTTGTGGAAAGTCAAAAGGTGTCAAATTTAGTGTCATGGATGGAGTATATAATTGCTGCTTGTAGTTTCCTTTTATTATAAGGTGAACATCGACTCCTATGGATGTGGATTGTTCTCATCTGTCAAAGGAGCATAGACAATCCTCATTTGGGTGCAGCTTGTGTATGCATTTTCATGTTAGCCATAGTGAACAGAAACCAAAGTAGAACTAAAAACCATGCCGATAAAGAATCATAAATAAAATGAGAGTTATATATAAAAGGTAAAGCAATTAAAATAAAAAGAATACCTCCATGAAAGAGTCAAAATGGGAAAAAGAAACTTGGAAGTGGAGAAGTATGGGGCAAACAGCAAAACTAGGAGGGTAAGAGATCCATAAATTCTTGTTTTCTATAAACATTGCCAGTTTGTACAGATCTTAAATCTCAGCACGATCAATTATTCTCCAAAGAAAAGCCCACAGTTTTTTTTTTCCAACTCTAAACAAGCTTGCCACCCTCTCACTCAGCGTCCTATGCCTTGTAAGCAATGATTGAATAAAACATCAAAAGTGACCTGATATTTGCATATGTTTACTCTATCTCACTGCATAGTTATGCTATTTAGCATATAAGGACATCTAAACCCAACTGCACCTTTGGTGTCAGGCTATTGTTCTTCTGTTCTCTAGAAGTCAGGAGTAAGGCATTTTTTCAATGAGTCTTCCTCTTAAATTGAATGCTGTCGCAATGTTTTCATCAGGATTACCAGGCAATGGTGGCACAGCTTGAACACCAATTTCGACTTGGAAGACTCTCCATACAAGGATTGTGGTTTTACTGTCAGGTTTGAGCTTGTCCTAAATCTACATGTATCTTCTTGGATGATTTCTCAATAGGTTTTCCATGCTGCAATGCAGCCTATGATGGGTTCCATGCAAGCATTATCCACTGTGGTAAAGAAAGCTTCTATAAATAATTTTACAGGTTCTGCTGTTCTTAACCTTCTGCAGAGTCAGGTAAAATTTCTTATCTGATTTACTCTGTTTCTTTGGTCAAAACAATTAGTTTTTCTCTTTAATAATTGAACTCTCTCCACTAGTTCGTATTATTTTGTTATTAACACATCTTTTGCTATATCCAGGCCAAGGCCATGGCTGGTGATAATTCAGTGAGGTCATTACTAGAGAAGATGACACAATGTGCAAGCAATGCGTACCTTAGCATATTAGAGAGGTAAATTGTGCAAGCATGTTACTGGATCTGTTTTTGTGACATTCATAAGATCCTTTCTCCATCCTGCTTTTAGGATCTTTTGCTTTTGATCCAACACACAATTTACATTTTAATTTTGACTTAGCAAATCTAATATTTGGTACATTTTTTGTTTGAGATATGTGCAAACAATGTACTGCAGAGATTTTGTTGAGGTCCCATAAAAGAATTCCAATCATTCTTGTGCATGTTGCTTTAAGGCCTTAAAAATCTGTGAGATAAACATTCAAGAGTAAAATATTGTCTATCCATATTTGGATTTGCAAAGAGGCATATAAATCTAGTGATCTTGCTTGCTGCTTAATTTGGTCTTTTTCCCTTCGCTGTTAACAATACTTGAAAAATAAAAGGAAAAAAAGAAGATTCATTGTCCATATATATTAAACTGCAGTTCGTCATCATAGCAGCCTTCATGCCTGGTCAATTTAAAAACCCATAATGAACTTAACTTTGATGACATGCCATTTGCTTAAAAGAGTAAATATTTTTATTTATTTTTTGAAATAGTTTCCTTAGATATCTTAGAGGATATGTGAAGCTAAAATTCATGTTTAGGTCATATGTATACCACTTTTTTTTTTTTTTATGAATAAGGTATATGTGGTTGTACACCAGTGTTTTTGGGGGACATTTAGACCTGGGAAGGATGGATGTGCACAAACAAATAAATAGATTTTATAGTTGTGTTAAGCGTGTGTTACTGGGGATAAGTGTAATGCATTGTTTTTGTGCCTTAATTTTCCTTACCTGCTGTGTATTATACCGTATGGTATTGCAGCCATGTCCATCATCTATGTTTATGTCTCATAGAGCAAAGCCACAGTTTAGTGCAAATATACTTTATTATGAACTTTTCTTGTTTTATTTTAAAAGGAACAAAAAGCATGCTGGGTATTGTAATATCTCTTCTAATTTGTATACTTGTAGTTTTGGGCATCACCTTTGTTTCTATTTTCCCTGTGGTAGCATATTTTCATGATTAAGTAGATTGATTTTTCATGGAATGATACATTTATAGGTGGGTCTATGAAGGAATCATTGACGATCCTTATGGTGAATTTTTTATTGCTGAAAATAAATCGCTTCAAAAGGTATATTGACTTCATTCAGGATGATAGGTGTTTCAGAGTTGCTCAAGATGCTTATAGTTTTCATTTTATAGGAGAGCCTCACGCAAGATTATGATGCCAAATATTGGAGGCAACGCTACAGCCTTAAAGAAGGGATTCCTAGCTTCCTTGCAAATATTGCTGGAACAATTTTGACGACTGGAAAATACTTAAATGTTATGAGAGAATGTGGGCACAATGTTCAGGTTTTCCAATCTTTATGTCCTTGGTTTATGGTATATCAGTCTTGCTTAAAGGAACGGACTCTTCCCTGTGCACTTGTGTGATTCTCTTTTGCTTTGGATTGAGTTTATTTTATAGGTCCCTTCCTCAGAAAATTCCAAATTAATGAGCTTTGGATCAAACCATCATTATCTTGAATGTATAAAAGCTGCTTATGATTTTGCCAGCAGTGAGCTCATAAATCTCATAAAAGAAAGGGTAAGCATTGGTTTTATATCAGTACTAATCAACATGCAGGTCTCTATATTTTATTTTATTTTTGTATTATTAGCCATGGCTATTTCTTTCATTCTTCTTGCGGAGCCTCCTAAGACAATGTTTGTGCTGTAGTATGATCTAATGGGAAAGCTGCGGTCTATAAAACACTATCTTCTTCTTGATCAGGTACTTAAAATTTATTGATCTATGAACTTAAGACTTAAAACCTTTCTTAAGATACATTTTGCATTATTCAGGAAGTTACGATTTGCCTTGTTTTATGGAGAGGAAAATTGCTTTTCTTGTTTGAATTTTCTTTTCTTTTTAATCAAATTATGTTGTTTCAGGGTGATTTCCTGGTTCATTTTATGGATATAGCTCGAGATGAGCTTACAAAGAAGCTTGATGAGATCTCAGTGGAGAAGCTTCAGGTTTAATCTATCTCTTATGCTGAAAAATGATATGTGACTCAAGGACAAAGTTATTAATATTCAGGATAACAAAGATCTAAATGTTTTTTTTTTTATTGTACAGTCTTTATTAGATCTTGCTTTGCGGACCACAGCAGCTGCAGCAGACCCATGTCATGAGGACTTGACATGTTGTGTGGTAAGCAACTTTTACCCTTTTTGCTTTGATGGGGTGAAAGTAATACATTTAAATTGTCGCATATTATGTCTTAAATGTTTGCTTTCAGGAAAGATCTTCTTTGCTAAAAACATTGGCCACCCTGAAAGATCTTGAAATAAGGATTGTTTCTGATACTAATGATGTGGAGGATCTAATGAGCATTACTGGTCTTGAGACATTTTCTTTGAGTTACAAGGTAGTAATCTGGTGTGTCCATGAATTTTTTATTAAGTGAATTTCCTGCCAAAACTGCTTTTGATATAATGATAAAGTCCTGGGCTTGCATCGATACTAGTGCGAGTTCAAGTTTTGAGAGGAGCTACTCTATGTAAAAAAAATCTAAAAGTTTGATGCCCTCCAAATTCCTCAGTACCCTGCTTAGGCGATGGGACTATAATTGGAAACAATGATGGCAGTTTCCTTTTGACTTTTTTTAGGTTTGAGGTTCATGCCCATGTCATTGATATTTTGCCTTCTTTACATTGCTGTATGGCATGATCTTGAATATTTTTTATCTAACACTGGTACTTGCTACTGAATGCTTATTTAATGTTTGGTTGTGTTTCAGGTCCAATGGCCATTGTCTATAGTTATATCAAGAAAAGCCCTAACAAAATACCAGTTGATTTTTCGCTTTCTGTTTCACTGTAAACATGTGGACCGCCAGCTTTGTGGGGCATGGCAAGTGCACCAAGTATGGCCTAGAAGCTTATTGATGTAAAGTTGTTAAAGTTTACTTGCCCGTTCCAATTACGATATATTTTTGCAGGGAGTTCGTGCCCTTAACATGAGGGGAACTGCCATCTCTAGATCAGCTCTGCTTTGTCGTAGTATGCTGAAATTTGTTAATAGCCTTCTACACTATCTAACATTTGAGGCAAGTTTTGTCTTATCATCTTAAGCTTTTTTTTTCTTTCTTTCTTTGAAGGATTCATTGTACAAGTTCTGGTTTTACATTTGCCTTTTCACCTTTTTCTTTTGTCATAAAACTTATTTGTTTTTTTATTTTTGATTGGTGTAGTTCTACTTCAACATTTTGTATTTTCATACAGTGCCTATATCATGAAATTTAAGTTTTTGATAGGCTTGAAAATAGTTTAGTATATATTGGAAATCAATGAATGTAATATTTAGGTTCATCCTTGGACCTGAAATTATGGCTGATATTTAATGTGTGGGTTGGAAGCTGATCAGGTCCCCATGGGGACACTAGTAGAAGAATATTCAGATCTGCATGATTAATTCTGATCTGCCAAATTTCAAGGTGTTAGTCTTATTGAAGGGTAGGGTTTGAATCTTTACAAGAAGGAAAAAAGAAAATGATGATGATGATAAGAATAAAAAATGATCCAACTTCAGCTTGGATTCTCTCTTTTTTTTTTTCTTTTTTCTGTTTCCCTTATTTTCATTTAATTTTAAATTGTAATTTTTCCTTTTTTTTTGTTTAATTTAAAGTGGCTTTTCATGGAATCTTGAGAATCTAACTTGGTGATTGGTTTTTGCTAAACAATACCCTCTTGTCAGGTTCTTGAACCTAATTGGCATATGATGTATGATAGACTGCAGACGGCGAAAAGTATAGATGAGGTATGGGCTTCATCAATTTTTTGGATTTGACATTCTTTGATGTGCATTACTTAAGCAACTGTCCTTTCTGTAAAATTTTATGTGGTAGGTCATTGTATATTGCTGCGCCGGTGCCTAACTGTGGTTCTGTATTTCTTATTGCTTCCTTTCTGGAACAGGTTATCCAATATCATGATTTGTTCCTTGATAAATGTCTCAGAGAATGTTTGCTTCTTTTACCTGAACTGCTCAAGGTTTGTTTTATCTTCTTTTACTCAAATGTTACATTTAATGAGGCACAAGGCATTAAGAAATAATGAGGCATGAGAAAAAATTGGCTAACAATAGAGACATGTTGAAAAGAAAAGGAAGAGAGATATTGTCATTTTGGATAAAGAATCCTAATGGGCCAATTAACAAAGGATTTTTGCAACATTATCTTTATGAATCTAAAGTTGATTTTAGTACAAAAGCTTCAAATATGATCTTTTCCTAAAATCAATTTTAGCCGATAAAGAATCATATTGCAAATTGCATATCCATTGGCCAACTAGTTAGGCATTATGATTCTCATAGACGAATGAGTAATTGATTCATGGAATATTATTATTTTAGGCCTAAATATTGTAAAAAGCTGATTTTGGGGAAAGTTAAATTATGGGCTTTTTCCAAAAATCAGTTTTAGAACCGTAGAATAGCTTGCAAAAAAAAAAAAAAAAAAAGCAGTAATTGCATTCATGGAATATTATTATTTTAGGCTAAATATTGTAAAAAGCTGATTTGGGGAAAGTTAAATTATGGGCTTTTTTCCAAAAATCAGTTTAGAAAAGTAGGAATCTTTTGCAAAAAAAAAAAAAAAAAAAAGCTACAATTATAATCATTAGATCAACAAAAAAAAAAAAAAAAAAAGCTACAATTATAATCATTAGATCAACATGATTTTAGTATTTTGGCGAAAGTTTGCTATCATCAATAGCAATGCCAAATAGGGCCCTAATTTAACCCAAAATGTCTGCTATTTACAATAACAATACCATATGGGCACTTACTCATGTATGCTAATCTTCTACTTCAATTGTGGATAAAATCCTGCTAAATCCCACTAAGCATAACTCTTTTCTGGTGACCACTATTGGACCCTTAGATCTCGTGAATGTAAATGGTTTGTCTTTCTATTTATTTATTTATTTGCCCCAGATCCTCTGAATAGCTAATATTCAACTTGAAAGAATATTGAAGGACTTTAGAATTTATTTGGACCCTTAGTTGCTGAAGTTTTAAGATATTTCTTAGTCAGATATCTCATTTTAGTCATAACAAAAGATGATACCATAATGGTACATGAAAGCCACTGAATAATCATCGATGGAAGGAAGATTTGGTAGGGAATCCAGAATTCTAATTAATTTGTGGTTTTTGAAGTTAATCTGATTTCAAAATCAAATGTCTGATTGCAGAAGGTGGAGAAGCTGAAATCATTGTGCCTGCAGTATGCTGCTGCAACTCAGTGGTTGATATCATCTTCTGTTGATATTCCGAAGCTAGAGGAACCTATTGATGTTCCACAGAAGTCCAGGCAATGGAGATCACGAAGCCCATCTCAGGCGCTTAAAATGGCAACTCGAAACACAACTGTCACTGAATCTATACTGTAAGTTCAAGGGAAGTGGATGTGAAAATAGGGGATTATAGGGCAGATTTGACATTACGATTGCCGATTACTGATTTTGGGTTAAAAACATTTGGGAGAACTTTCATGGACCAATGGTAATTTCCTGAAATATTGCTTCTATGGGCCTAAATATTGGGAAAAACTTCAAATTTGAGCTTTTCCAAAATCAGTTTAGGCCCTTAGGAAATTATTTGCAAAGAGCTACATGATTTATACCAAAGTGATTTCTCCTAAAATATGCTATAAGCAATAGCAATTGGAAACAGGGCCATGAAAGAATCTCTCTCATTGAATCTAATATTTTGCAGCAAATTTGAGAAGGAATTCAATGCAGAGCTTCAAAATCTGGGACCAATCCTGAGCAGTAATTCCCAAGCGGAGCCACATTTGACTCATTTAGCGCAGTGGATTCTTGGAGCTAGAAACGATCAGTGATTTTTTAGTATTGGTTTTTTGAAACTATAGCTTTTATTTTGGTGAGTGAATACATTTTCCACTGCAGGTTTGCCAGTTCTTGTTGTGTGGGAAACAAGAAGCGAGTGCTTGCTTAATTTAATGTGTTCTAGCGTGTTCAGTTTTTCCTTTTAGTAAATGTAATTTCTTGAGAAAAAAAGAAGTAAAGTTCTATTTTTTTGAGATGAAAGTGGATGTGAAATGTTGTTCAAAGAAGCAATATTATAAAGTAGCATCAACAGATTGGAGAAAGAACCGGATTGCAGCAAGAAAATTTTCATCTTGTTCAGAAAATGCAGCTTTTCCATGCAACGTGTAACTGAACTTCTCAAACGAGTAATAACGAATTTAATTCAAACTAATCATGTCTCTACATGATCCTCATGCGGATTTGAAAGAACAATTTTTCAAAAATTTATTTTTTGAGTGTTGCTTTAATTTAAATATTTTGTTTATGTATTTTGATTAAATGATGAAAAGTTAAATTACATGTTTGTTCTGAAATATTTATTAGTACAAGTACATTATCGTAATTAACTAATTATTATAATTAAATTATTTAATTCAATTAATAAATATGTGATTATTTATTATCTGTGGAATTCTCATATTTTCAATTGAAATGCTTATTAATTTATTGAATTTTCATAATTAAATAATATATAAAAAGATTTAGTTATAGTGCATATATTTTAAGAATTAAAATTATATTTTAATTCCATTAATTAATTATATTATGGTCGCTTACTCCAATTTAGTAAAAGAAACTTAATATTTATTAGATGAAAAAAAGATTAATTACAATAAAAATATAAAATGTCACGTCAACATTTCCGAATTCTAATATGTTAGGGTCGATACTTAAAAAAATGATATACTTAGATACATATAAACTATAATCAGAACCTTATACTTTAGTTATCCAGTGTTTTCGGTTCTATCTTATTCTTTATTTTATCAAATCAACTAATAAATTTGTGAATTGGTTTCAATTGTATGCAAGTAGTGTGATGTGATGATCTACATAGTTTTATATTGGTTACATTGTTTACTCCTCTTATTAATATCAAGATGTATGACTTTTTGGGTGCAATTCATTTGCATTGACTCTAGTCAATAAATTGGTGTCCGCTATATGAACTTTATTTGGACAAGCTATGACAAAATACAAGAGTTATTTGTAATGGATTGAGTTGAGAAAGGGTTTGTTTTTTAATTTAAAGGAAAATGTTCTGGCCGTAGTTAAGAAATTCTCTATTAAAAATAATGTTGCATGTAAAGTTGAAGAATTTACACCAAATTATTATTATTAGGTCATTAAGTGTATAAGGTTTGAGGAAGGTTGCCCATAGAGATTGCAGGCGATAAAAAAACGTTTTAGATCATATTGGATAATCGGTGTTTATAAAGGACCACATACTTATGATACACCACTAATGTCACAAGACCATAGGCAATTGGATTCTACGATAACAAAGTGGTTACATTTTGGAGATGATTGGGAAAGAATCAAAGTTAGGTGTTAGTGACATTATTGAAGAAATTCGAAATCGATTTCATTTCGAGATTTCTTACAAGAAAGCATGGTTACATTTTGGAGATGATTGGGAAAGAATCAAAGTTAGGTGTTAGTGACATTATTGAAGAAATTCGAAATCGATTTCATTTCGAGATTTCTTACAAGAAAGCATGGTTACATTTTGGAGATGATTGGGAAAGAATCAAAGTTAGGTGTTAGTGACATTATTGAAGAAATTCGAAATCGATTTCATTTCGAGATTTCTTACAAGAAAGCATGGTTACATTTTGGAGATGATTGGGAAAGAATCAAAGTTAGGTGTTAGTGACATTATTGAAGAAATTCGAAATCGATTTCATTTCGAGATTTCTTACAAGAAAGCATGGTTACATTTTGGAGATGATTGGGAAAGAATCAAAGTTAGGTGTTAGTGACATTATTGAAGAAATTCGAAATCGATTTCATTTCGAGATTTCTTACAAGAAAGCATGGTTACATTTTGGAGATGATTGGGAAAGAATCAAAGTTAGGTGTTAGTGACATTATTGAAGAAATTCGAAATCGATTTCATTTCGAGATTTCTTACAAGAAAGCATGGTTACATTTTGGAGATGATTGGGAAAGAATCAAAGTTAGGTGTTAGTGACATTATTGAAGAAATTCGAAATCGATTTCATTTCGAGATTTCTTACAAGAAAGCATGGTTACATTTTGGAGATGATTGGGAAAGAATCAAAGTTAGGTGTTAGTGACATTATTGAAGAAATTCGAAATCGATTTCATAATCTCAACATGGAAAGGATTTGCGAATTAAAGAAAGAAACTGAAAATATTTATGGATTTCGTACCCAACTTCCTCTCATGTTTGTTTGGTTTTGGGAGGTGATAAGGACACTAATAACGTTGAGACAGAATCTTTTTATTATCAATTTCATTATTATTGTTATTATTGCTTCACTTTTCCTTTTCACGGTCCTGTTAGCCACAGCGATTCCCTGTCCCAAACCCAACCCATCGTAACGTTCGAAAAACCGAGTAAAAATTTCTTTATACACTGCAACACACGACCACCGCCATCAATGCGCGTTACTTCAACGCCACCGCCATCAAAAATGCGCGTTACTTCTTCCGTCCGTATACCAGTTTGCACTTCTATTTCTTTGTCACTGCTTGCCCACGGTGTAAAGAAAAACAATCGTCTACGATACATCGGGAATGATGGTAAGTGCAGCAGCAGCGGTATTGTTAATGATCGGCACAAGCAAAACAATTAAAAACGGTTCGCATTTTTATCATTTTTTTCCGTGGGGTCATGTTTAAAAAAAAGTGGGGGCCCACGCGGTTAACTGATGCGTAGAATCTGTGTATATTTGTTCAGCCGGCTCTCTCTGGCTTTTGGCTCCTTGTCATTTTTTTGACAAAGTGGACTCCCACCCCCATCTCGATTTTTCAAACCCTCTCTATTTTATAACACAAACAAACCCCTCACATCTCACCCCGTACGCTCTTTGCTCCACTCCACTTCGTTCGCCAACATTTTCTACCCAGACCAAAAAGCAAACACGGACTCTTTCTTTTCTTCTTTCTTCTTCTTCTTCTTCTTCTCTTCTCTCTTCTCTCTTCTCTCTTCGTGCTCTGTTTCGAAAGCCAGACGCATGGAGTCCGCTGGTTTCATTTCTTCTGCTTTTTTCTCTCTCTCTCTCTCTCTCGTGCTCTGTTTCGAGAAGCAGAGCATGGAGCGTGGTTTCATCTTCTGCTTTTTCTTACTTCTTTGCATTTTCTGTATTGCAGGTGAAAACATCTTCTTCAAGTTCAGTGGATGGTAATAACAAATTATTCCTAGTTGCCTTTGCCACCGTTGAGGGAGAATATGGTTCAAGCTCCTCGCATGAGTGTTAATATAAATATTGAGTACGGAGAAGAATATCAAAGTATTAGAGAAGATGTAGTTGAAATCTGCGTCATAATAGGAGGCCTCCAAGATATTGCACAAAGGAACGCGTGGATAGACATTAATATGATTAATTTTTCATATATTAGTTATTAAGACATTTTTTATATAATACAAGTTTAACTCAAAGCACTTTATTACTCTTAATAATTTGTAACTGTGTAACAAAAACATAAAATCTATGTTTTTATTATTTAGTTTGAAATATTTATAAACTAAAATTATCGGATGATACGTGTGTTTTGATAAAAAAATACTTCGAGTAAATAATTTTTTTTTTTATTGAATCCATTAGTTAATCTTGTGGACTCTTAATAAAATATTATTTTCTCGTGTACTTTTTATTGACTGCTTATCAGTATGAGTTACTTTTTCTATTGTACTAAAACCGCCGATTGAGTCAGTGATTTTTCTATTGCATTAAATTGGTAAATAGTTTTAATTTAGTATTAAATTGGAAAATAGTTATTTGAAAAACTTTTTTTTTCCAAATCCCTTGAAAATTGGGGTGTTGTGAAGGTCATAATTTGAGTAAAATGATTAAGAAGGCTAATGAGGTGAAATTACATCAACTTGCAAAGTTAGAGTTAAAACTGTGTATTATATCACTTTGTGTCCACGGATCGACCCGATTCATTTGGGTCTGGTTTGAGCATTTATTTAAAGAAGATTCGGTTTATTGGATTGGTCGATTTGAATTGAACTTATTTTAAGGTTCGAGTCAGTTTATTGAAATTCATTGGTAGACTTAAAATCAATCAACATGGTAAAAAATCGAGCAAAACCTTTTGAACTGATTGATTCGATTCGAATATATCCAGTTCAAGTATCAAAATCAGCTTGGTTTGGTCTGTTGTTCAAAAACCTCTGTGTTTATTTTTTTTAGCCTTGGTTCATTTCTATTTTAACCAAACAGACCATTTGCTCACCCCTACTTTGGGAAGTGGTTATGTAAATGGTGTGATGCTATTTACAATGATTGTGTGAAGGTAAAAAAAAAAAAAGAAAAAAAAAAAGAAAAAAATGGTAATCAGAAAAATATGGTGAAAAATTAAGTAAATCCATAAGCACCAAAACCAGGAATGATTGGAGAACTGAAAAATGTTTCTCTAAACACATGAGGTTCTTTATCCAGTGAAAAAGCCATTGCAGTTATGAAAATACCAACTACTACAGTCTGTCAGTTTTAATTACTAGCTAGCTAGCTAAGCGTAAACTAATGATCATTATCCCAACATGTGCTACTTGCTTACTTAGCAACTTTGTACTTTGAAGAGCCTCACATGGTTTCTTACTTAATCCTCTCCTCTTCCAAAATATGACATTTTCTATATGACTTAATTGAAATTTATTTTACATTTTGCTAATTAGATGGTGATTTAATTGGTCTTCTAACTTACGTGAAAAATGTGAAATCTCTAGTTTAAATCTTATTGATCACATTTGAGCCAAGGGGAGAGCTACTACTATTATGTAGCTTATATTTAGCACATTGAGCCTCCAATGAAATATATTTGAGCCTCCAATGAATTATATATATATATTATATATATATATATATATATATATATTGAAAATTATATTGATATTACTGAGTTGATATTGATTGTTAAATATATTTTTCTCTTAGCAATATTTACTAAGTTACTATTAGGGGTATCTTTCAGTTAATTTATAAGTACTATGGTACAATTTCCTTTAATGAAACTTTATATATATATATACACATGTGTTTGATGCATTTAAAAAAAATATTATTTTTAAAGTATTCTTTAATGAAAATGAATTATGATTCATAAGAAAGGATTGAAGGAGAGCCATTATTATGATTGCAAGATTGTAACTTTGAACTCAAACTCAATCTAAATCCACGGGATTTGATACTCGTATCGTTTTAAATCCATTTAATTAAATATCCAAATCTTTTTTAAATGGATTTTACGGATGGGGTATCCATAAAAACTCACTATGCCCTCAATCCTCACTTCCATCAGGCTTTTATTGAATTTTTTTTTTTTTTTTTTTATAAGTTGCTGTTGGCTTTGTTGCAATGTACAAAACAAAATACAAGGAGGAATCCACAAAAGGGATCCTATCCAGCTGTGAAAATTAAAGTCAGATTTCTTCATAATTTTGCCTTATGCATCAAAGTCAGGATTTGAAACAAGAGAGAAGAAAAAAAAAAAAAAAAACACAGAGAGAAGACAAAAAAACAAAAGAGTAACAACCCAATTCAATTAAAAAAAAAAAAAAAAAGAGTAACAACCCAATTCAATTCATGTTATCATGTATAAAACTTTAATATGTTTAAAAAAAAAATAAAGAAACCAAAAGAGCTAATCCTAACTAAATATGAAACATGCTTTGTCTATCACCATTCCTATTCTCTACTTCATAAACTAATTAATGGACCCTCCAATTATCAGCATGAGGTAATGGTTCTTTTCTTTTGGAATAAGTTTCAATTTGATCCTTAAACTTGGGCACAATATACAGTTTGTTCAAAAATTAACTTTTTATACAATTTACCCTTTGAACTTGCACCAAAATAACAAAATGTCCAATTTTTTAAGAAAAAACTTTTTATAGTTTAAAATAATAAAAATTACTTTAAAATTTAAAATGAGAAAACAAAAAAATGATTTAAAAATATAATAATGATTATGAAAATTTAAAGTATTTGATTTAAGAACAATTTAACAAATATTTGATTTTAAAAAAATTATAGAATTAGAAAAAGATTTGATTACAAAAATATTTGTTTGTTTTTTGTTTGATTATTATTTTTAATTATATTTGATTTAGATCAAATATTTAATTATTTTTTTAATCATATTTGATTTATATCAAATAATTTATTATTTGGAACAAAAATTGGACATTTTATATTTTTGGTGCAAGTTCAAGAGATAAATTATATAAAAAAATTAATTTTGGGGCAAATCGTACATTGTACCCAAGTTTAGGGGGCAAATTGAACCTTATTCCATTTTTTTTCCTCAAAATCAATAGATCAAATCCCCCAACTAAAACTTACTCAAAATTTTTTTACCACAGTCATTCACATTCATTTAGGACATAGCTAAAACATCCATCAATTTATTTTCCCTCTGGGCAATTTTTGCTTACCAATATGTTGTTATTTCATTTAATATTGCATTTTTTTTAATTGGAGTAAGACGAGATAATCAAATATTTTGAAATATACAACTTATTTTAGTTAACAATAAAGAAATTGGAGCTTCAATACTTAACTATTTCTTTGTTTTAACAGAAGTGAAAAAGAAGGGAACATGTGGGTCCAAAAAAGTAAAATATACAACTTAACTTAATGGAGATTTACTTTATTATCATCTTCATTTCATGATTAATCTTCCCCCTTCAACTATAACTTATTCCCACCATAGCTAGGCATGTGATATACCAACCTAAAATTTGTTTAACAGTTGCTTTCTTTCTTAAATTAGCATCCTAATTTAATATTTAAAGGCTTGAATTCTCTCACACTGAGCAACCTAACAAAACCCTATCAAATGGAATTATTAAAGTTGTGCTTATAGCTAAGCTCAAATTAATAATACAAAAAAGAAAATGTCCAACCATTTGCATTCCTTTCTTGTTCCTTCAACCTACCAAACCCCGTAACTTAATTATGTGTTTATGCCCTTAAACTAAAGACATAATCATGTTTTAGATCTACCCCACTTGCCAATTGTGCATAAATGATTAATTTTTTGCACAACTTTCTCTTCATTAATTCTTGAAGAAGAACATGAAATCCTCCAGAGAATACAAGAAGCAAAAAAAGCTTCTTCAAGAAAGAGGATGCAAAGCCTTGTGTTGTAGTTGCAGGCTTAGTGTTTCTTCTTCTGAAGAATTAGCAACAGAGAGCTCAGCTAATTCGGACCGATACGCTTCCATTTCAAGCTTAGCTCATGCCATGGTTCAAGAAAGACTAGACCAGATGATTAAAGAAAGGCAGCAAGAAGAAGAAGAAGCAAGACATAATAAAGAGAAAACAAGGTTAAAACATGAAGCTATCAATAATAAGTTTGTAGTAATGGTAGCTATGGAGAAGAGCTCTTATGATCCAAGAGAAGATTTCAGAGAGTCTATGGTTGAGATGATTGTGGCAAATAGATTAGAAGAGCCTAAAGATCTTCGTAGTCTACTGAACTATTACATGTCAATGAACTCTCAAGAGTATCACGGAATGATACTTGAGGTTTTCCATGAGGTTTGCACTAATTTGTTTCTATATTGTAAATGTCATTGATTAATATTAATTAATTTGAATTAAGGTTATCGATAATTATTATTTAGTGATTTTGATTATAAGCATATATAATAGAGTTTCAATAAGTATAAAAATTCTCAAAGGGTGAAATGAGGTGATAGAGATCCTTCTCCATTAATTAATAATTTTGAGTTTGAGTTCTGGATATGAAATCCCTTTAAATATTCGGGAGAGCATTTTACGTTCCTTCATGCACCCTATCCAAAAAGGATTAATCCAATCAATAGAATTCAGATATCTTACAGTTAAAATTTTTTTAAAAAAAAGTTAGAATAAGGTCATGTGTTAATATGTTGTTTTATGTTACAATAATGGAATATATTATTATTATTATTTATGACGTTAGTATTAGATAAACTAAATTAAAAATAAGTATAGGTTTATTTGTTTGTATTAACTTGTAGACAATTATTAAGTACAATTTAAATTATAGAAAAGTGGGGTTTTACGACACTCTCGCTACCAAAAAAAAAAAAAAAAAAAAAACATTTAAATTATAAGAAAAGTGGGGTTTTTACGACACTCTCGGCTACCAAAAAAAAAAAAAAAAAAAAAAAAAAAGAAAGAAAGCAACGTCTCACTAAATTATTATTTTTTTAGAATAATTAATCTCTAATTTGGATGAAATGAATTCTATAAAATTTTGTTGGATTTATTTATAAATTTAAATTTGTATTAGGTATGAAAAAAAATTAAAGAATTCAATTTTATAGTTTTGAATATGACTAAATCAAATTCTATTATTAAAATGTGAAATGCGAATGCTATAAATATAAATAATCTAAAATTTTATGATAAAATTCTTCATCGTACTAGCCTTCTAAATGTATTTCAAACATGAAAAATTTATTTTTACATAAATTTTATTTAAAATCCATTTGAAAATAAATTGCAATTCATTTATACCAAATGTAGCCAATTATGATTATCTATTTGCATGCCTAGATAAAAGCAAAGGGACCAGTGAGGTGAAGAGTATTTTTATATTTTGGGTTCTTTCTTTTTCGTCTAAGACTGTCAAGTGTATGCTTGGTTATTGAGGAACAATATATAGTTGTTCTAATCATGTATTAGGCTTATACCAAAATCAGCCTACCTACTTTTACTTTTGTCCCCTTACATAAATTATTTTATACATATATACATAAAGTTCAATTCACATTTATTTTGTTTAATGTATAATTTTTCTTTGAAACTCCTTTTTTTTTTTTTTTGGATAAAAGGGAGAAATTACCAAAAAATTACATCAAACAAAGTCTTGATTTAAGACGAAAATTTCTTGTCCATATGAGTGTTTCATACATCAAGCCAATAAAAAAAAAGTATTTTTTTCTCAAGTCACGTTAATTTCTTGCCGGATAGTATCTCAACTCTTAACTACCACTGCGTTGTAAATATTAGGCATCTTGCCTGGAGGAAACGCTACATCTAGTACTAGCCCAATGATTTGAGTATACGCCCCAGGTAATATATTAATGAAAATATTCTCATTTAAACCAAGACATTGTTTGTGATTGATTTGGTGTACAGTGAATCCATACATGGAGAATAGGCAAGTTTTTCTCTAGTTAAGATATCCCACGAAAATCATGTAACCTTATGGAGGATCATTGAAAACATGATAGCCTAGAGGAAGAAATTTCTGAGAGGAGCCATTCAATTAAGGCAGTGATTACTCTCCCTAAAAATATGATAAATTTGAACTTTCCAATAAATGTGGAGGTAACTTCGAATATGCCTAACCAAGCTCATTATAGAACTTATAGCGACCTCATTTTTATTAATCAGCTCGCAAACATAAGCATTATCAACTTTTATCCGAAGTTGTCTGATATGCAGATCGCATGTAAGGGGTAAACTAAAATATAAACCCCCATAGCTCGCAATGAGAATAGAGCAACTTCCAACATTAGCTGCAAAGCCACCCAACCAAGCCCCTTCACTGGATTTAATAACCTCTATGTTGCACAGAAATGAAATACTGGATTTAATAACCTCTATGTTGCACAGAAATGAAATAAAAAAATAACCTCTATGTTGCACAGAAATGAAATAAAAAAAATGTAAAAGCACAAAAATGACACAGATAAATGATATTTAAAATATAATTTTACACGGAAAAATGGTATTTTATATTACCGAAAACGTGGAAACATTTCTGAAACACTGAACACGTATTTTATATTAGCGAAATCGTAGAAATATTACCGAAAACGTGGAAACATTTCTGAAACACTGAACACGTATTTTATATTAGCGAAATCGTAGAAACATTTCTGAAATGAAACACTAAATACGTATTTTATATTAGCGAAATCGTAGAAACATTTCTGAAACACTGAACACCATGGCCATAAATTTTCATAAATATGGAAAAATCCTTTCCACTGATGCCTTCCCCATTAACGTTCAAAATTTCCTTACCAAAAGTAATCTCTACTTGCTATCAACAGGCTTGAACACATCCTTATCAAATACCAAATTGTTTCTCCATGTCCATAATAGCAAGTCACTGTAAAGATTAAACTGCAGCTTATCCCATCAACCTGGACCAGGCTATATCTCATATTGAATGTCACCCAATCTCAAATGGACCCAAAGTTCAAGAAACTCCTGAGATATCTAGCAATAGCAACCTATTCCAAGCGTTTCTAGCAATAACACAATCCCTAAGCAGATGCAAAACGCTCTCTACAGCAATGGACAATCATCTATATTACACGGAAACTTTCTTTAATCGTCGTTGCGGCGTTTTGGAAATGTTTGGAAACTTAAAAACGTTTCGGAGCTGTTTCAAAAATGTTCCGTGCATGGAAATATTTGGACGCTCCTTGGGAACGTTTCAAAACTATTTTTGTAAATTGGATAATTTCGAAACGCGCTTCCCCTTATAAAAATATGTTTCCAAACTAAAAACTCTTAAAAGCTCGTTTTTCTAATTAAACTAAATTTATAATAATTATAAATTCACAAAATATGTATTTTTTGTGAGTACAAAACATATAATCCTTTTGGATAAGATTAAATATTGACTGGACTTGACTTGATGTTTGATATATTAAATGGTTTCTAATAATTTATTTCTTTATATTTATAAATATAACCCTATATTTTTCATATTTACGTGTTTTCCTCACATTTCTATTTCTTATATTTTTAAAAATACCATTTTTCCATATCCGTTTTTGTGTTTCCGCAGTTCCACATTTCCATTTCCGTGCAATGTAGGCAATCATAATAATCTAGTAATTAACAATCCAATCTCTGCGGAGACGATAACTTTTCTATACTATTTGTATAGTCCGTACACTTGTGGAACACGCATCAGTCGCTATCAACACAAAACGAAATAAATAAAAATTTTGAAAAAAGTGACTATTTAACCCAACGAAGGCAGTATCTTATAATAATTTAGTTTCACAGGAAAATAAACAATATGTGAAATTATAAAGAAAAAGAAAAAGAAATGTAGAAATGAGCAAAATAAGCATGAATGTTGTTGTAGCTAATTGTTGAAAATTTGGCATTTTGTATAATATACTGATAACTTGTCAAATAAATAATTTTAAGTGTGATTCACATTAGATTTTATTATAATCACATAAACTCAATTATCTTAATTTAATTACTTTAATTTAATTATATCATATTAGTACAAATTTGAAGAGACTTTCATAGTTCGTGTATATATTATTTTATGTTACATTAAACTCTCACTGAAATTTTATAAGATATTTTGTTTTTTGAAATTAGATCGGAGTATGTTACTGAAATAAAATTAAATTTTAATTTATAAATTTTTATAATAACTTGACAAACCTAAATATTAATATTAATCCATTTTTGTTATTCATGTTAGATTTTGAATATCTTTCTTAATATTAGGAGGGATATATAGAAAGTACAAAAAAAAAAAAATTACATGCCTATGCTGCTCCATTTCTAAATGGAATATTCATAAATAGAAACATGAAATCATCATCATCATCATCTCTCTCTCTCTCTCTCTCTCTCTCTCTCTCTCTATCTCTGCTATAAATGAGTTAATGGTCTTCTTTGGATAACAAAGAATCTTAGACCTTCATGGAATACATACAAAGAACCTTACAGCTGCAGAGAAGAAATGACCCGTGAAATGCAATAAAAGCTAAAGCAAAGAATCATAAAAGCATAACCAAGAGGAAAAATATAACTTTAATTTATATTCATGACATTAAATTGGCTAAAAAAGGCCATTGGTACAAAACAAACAACAGAAGAGAGACCCCTAATCGCTATTAATTTTTCCTGCTTTCTCTTTTCTCTCTTTTTTTTCTTTTCGTGAAAAAGAAAAGAAATTCTATGTTTTCTTTTATACTAGTCTCTCCTACCTACCAAAAACAGAAATTTTCTTGCCTCTTACATTAAATCTCTCATTCTGAATCACTTTCCATACTCCCCATTGCCTTCAATCCTCTAGGTCTCTGCATCAAATAATGCACAAATCAATCTTCATTTATTTAAACTTTTTCAAGCTAATTCTGATCATCTAATGGAATTAGATCCTAAAAAGGTTTGAAATCCCAAGAAAAGATTCAAATTTTAAATTATTAATTTTCCTTTTCTTGAACTTTCTAAGCAACCAAACAACAAATATACAACTAAATGACATGAAAATCCATAAGGTCCCAGAAGCAAGAAATCAAAGAGCAGAGCAGCACCTTTTTGGAAGCCTTTTTCTCCCTCACTTCATACCTTTCTTGACACAAATCGGTTAACCATGCACCTGGACTCACCAACTGCAAATACACAACAAAACCAACAATTAAGATATGAAACAATGATCCAATCCCAAGTGGGTACATCGAGGAGACATACAAGTAGTGTTTTTTGTATTAGCTTAGCTCTTTTCTTAGGCCTTTGAGGAGGCTTGCAGCCTTTCATAGCCATGAAATCCTCTTCCTTCTCTTTGCTGGACAATGTAATAAACAACTTAGGCCAAACAAATCCCTTCTCTTCCTTCACGTTATCAATCAAAAGTTTCCCACTATCATCCAATCCCAATGATCCCCTTGTCGTGTAATATCGATCTTCCTTCTCTGGCGATAATACCGATGACTTCCTATTGTTCATTAAGTCAGAATTCCTATAAACACACACAACCCAGAAATAAAATCAGCAATTTTTACAATTTTTTGCAAGGTATCACAAGAAAATGAGAAATAACAATTTCTAATGAGTTTTGGCTTAATGCCATTGTAATAATCTGCAAATCTTCTAAGTTGCAAGTTAGAACACCACTTGGAGCCAGATTAACAGAAAATAAGAACATGGGAAATGAAAGCTAAGAAAATGATCTACCAACAATATTACTCCTAATTGAAACAGATTTATCATTTTGATATTTCCCTTCTCTCATCAACCAATTAGGCCACAGAAAACTCCGATACAACTTTCCTTCATCATGAAAAAATAAGATCCTAAAATGTAGCAACAATAGCAAATAAAACAAACAAACAAGTTGTTCCTTTCCCAAGTACTGAATCTTTTTTCCAAAACAAAACCCTTGATTAGTTAGGGAAAGAACACAAGTGAAAAAGCCTAGCTAAAATGCATACATTCTAAAACAAACGGTTCCAACAAAATTTTACTTAACATTCATAGATATAACGAATTTTATTTACTTGATAGCACGAGAGGGCGATTCTTTCTCAGCAGTAATAATGCGTGATGTAAGTTTCTTCTTTGGCAAAGAATCTGTTGGTTTGGATGTGTTGGCTAAGTTTCTATCTTTTTTCACTTTCACACATCTAAGCCTCTTTTTTGTCCCCCATTGTAACACAAAATCTGTCTCTGCACCTCTTTGACTCTTCTTTTCCTTCTCCATATTCTCTCTATACAACAAAACTTTAAAAGAAAGTCTGAGAAAATTATTCATAAATCTAATACAAAAACAGGAAAATTCACCAGTGATAAAAGAATAGTTCAAGAAAATGGCATTTTCCAGTAGCAAATAAGAAATAAGTAAAATTAATAACAAATTTAGAGGAAATTTTGCCAATAACAGTACATTTATATAAAGTTGGGATTTTTTTTTATAATTAGAAGTCATTCCCAAGGAAAATACAAGAAAGTATAGGAAAGTTTGATTAAAAAAGTTAATATTGCTGCAAAATCAGTCGCTGACCTCAAGATCTGCAGTCAATGCAACGCGAATCTATTAAAATTCTCACCAATCGGCCTGCATTTTAGAGCATAGACAGAATCAATTACACATCAATGCAATCACAAAGCAAAATACAAGAAAACACTCCAGTTGCTGAGAAAGTAACTAAAACAAGAATGGAAATTTTTCTTTTAATCAAAGAGATTTTATCCTTACAGTTTCTCAACAATCAAACAGCCCATAAATGCAAAACTGGAGAGAGTAGGAGTTCATTGCATTATACTGTGGCACCAAGAAACAACAGCAACAGCAGAAAACTTATAATGGTTTTGAATTTTTCTTCTTTTTTTTTTTTTTTTTTTGGACCAAGAACACAGGCAACAGCAGAAAAACTTCTAATGGGGTTTTTTGAAATTTTTCTTCTTTTTTTTTTTTTTTTGTTTTGGTTTGCAGAGAAAATGAAATTTTCTCAAGAGTATGAGGTGAAATGAAAGATTAATTTTTTTTTTTTTTTTTTTTGTTTGGTTGCAGAGAAAATGGAAAATTTTCTCAAGAGTATGAGGGAATGAAAGATTAATGGCTTCGGATTTGAGGGTTCGGATTAGATTTTAAGTTTGATAGCTAATAAATCCAAAAATCGGCGCTTTCTCTGTTATCTTCACCAGACCTCTCTTTTCAGTTCTCTCTTCTTGTCTTGTGTTTCTTTTAAAGTTTTATATTTTTAATTAATTTATTTACTGATTTTGTTAAAAAATTTCATATTTATTTAATAATTTAATGATGACCGCGTGATATGAAATGGATGGTCAGATGCGTTTCCCTCCAATTGGGTTGCTTTGTTGCTTGAAGACATAGGACTCGACTAGACCAGGTGTCTTCTAAGTCACGTGACAGTTGCTCAAGGCACGTGAGTTGGCGCTGCCATTTGCAACGAGTATGAAGCAGGGTGAGCAAACTTTGAAAAAAATCAAAAATGGAATAACCAATCAAAAATTATAAATATTTATTTTCTGAATAAAATCGAACTGTTAGACTGAATTAATGTCTACCGAATGGACCAATTTGGTTCAGTTTATAAATTCGAAGTTTCACATATTGAATATTTATGTCAGCGTGGGCCCTAATAGCAGGCCCAATATTAAAACTCATATAAAAGATAACGCATTAGCAAGAGGTTATTTGGGCCTAGAGACCCAACTTTATAAATGTTATACAAACTTTTTTTTAGAACCAACACGTGCGGGTCTCTCACTGTACATATAAAAGTATTCTGAACATATTATGTTGATTAAGAGTTGAGAGTTTCTATTTTAAATTTTAACTAAATATTTATCAACTAAATTAATTTTATTTTTATGGTTAAATTATATAATAATATTTTTGTGTTCAGCAGAATTAAAAAATTTTATAAGTGGTGATATAGAAAATTGATATATATTATATCTTTTAATAAAAATAAGTAAATATCAAAATTTATCAATAGTAACTTTTATTAGTTAAATTTCTATCATTTTGATAATAGAAACAATGATTAATGTATATATACACAAGCATGTACACAATTAAATTTAATTTAAATTAGAATATCGTAATTTGAATTATATTAAGCCACATTCAATCACATTTGCAATAAATGAAATTATGACATCCTAATTAAAATTAAATTCAGTAACACATAGAAATTAAATGAAATTAAGATATTATAATTGAAATTAAATCAATTCATGCTTAATTAAGTCAAATTTGTAATTAAATTAAATTAAGATACTCTAATTAAAATTAAATTAAGGCACACTTGAGTAAGTAAAAATGTCCAAGTTTGAATTAACTTAAATTAAGACACCTTAACTGGATTAAGTCATGCTTAATTAAGTCTACTTGAAATTAAATGAAATTAAGGCACCTTAATTGAAATTAGATTAAGTCACACTTGGACTTGCTTGAAATTAAATTAAATTAGATACTCTAATTGAAATTAACTTAAGTGACTCGACTTAGCTACACTTGAATTGAATGAAACTAACCCTAATTGGAATTAAATTAAGTCATACTTGATTAACTCACATTTGAACTTAAATGGAATTACGACACCTTAATTGAAATTAAATTAATTTATACTTGATTAAGTCACACGTGACATTAAATAAAATGAAGACACTCTAATTTAAATTTAAATTAAGTCATACTTGATTAATCTGTCACTGTTAAAATTAAATTAAGTCAGATTAATCTGTCACCGTGACATTAAATTTAATTTTTTTTTTTCGAAAGGACTAAAAATTTAAACGGAGACATACTTTGGGAACTCCGAAATAATTATCATAAACAGCGAGAACGAAGTCATGTATTTTGTAAAAACTAGGGGACCTGAAAATCATTTTGCCTCAAATTAAATCACACTTGAAGATTGAATGAAATTAAAACATCATAATTGAAATTAAATTAAGTTAGGCTTGATTAAATCATACTTAAAATTAAATGAAATAAGACCCTTAATTGAAATTAAATTGAGTCACACTTAGTCACCCTTGGAATTAATATACCATGATTGGAATTAAGTGAAATTAACATTTTTGTAGTTGGAATTGAATTAAACCAAACTTTATTAGTCACATCATATATGTGGAATTAAATTAAATTAAGTTATACTTAGAATTGAATAAAATTAAAACCTCCTAATTGGGATTAAATTAAGTCACACTCAACTAAGTAAGGGTTGATTAAGTTAGGTTTAAAACTAAATAAAATTAAGACTCTTAATTGAATAAATTAAAATATACTTGAAATTAAATGAAATTAAGCCACATGATTGGAATAATATTAAATCATACTACATTAAATCACCCTTGATTAAGTTGCACTTGGTTACTCCTAGAATTAAATTAAATTAAGATATCTTAATTGGGATTAAATTAAATCACATTTACAATTAAATGAAATTAAGGCACTAGATTTTCCAGTGGAATTGAATGGAATTAAGACACTCTAATTGAAATTAAATTAAGTCAAACTTCATTAAATTACACTTGGTCACACTTGATATTAAATGAAATAAGACTCTCTAATTGGAATTAAATTAAGTGACACTCGATTAAGTCTCACTTGGAATTAAATGAAATTATCTCACGCTTAGTCACCCTTGTTATTAAATTAAATTAAGATACTCTAATTGAAATTAAATTAAGTCATACTTAGAATTAAATGAAATTAAGATATTACAATTGAAATTAAATTAATTTACACTTAATTAAGTTACACTTGATTGTTTTATTTATTTATTTATTTTTTTTTTTTTGAGTATTGGGGATGGGGATTCGAAGCTAGAGTATTCAGTAAGGTGTTAATTGAATTTAGTGACACTCAACTAAGTTACCCTTGATTAAGTTACAATTGGAATCAATGAAATTAACACACTTTAATTAAATTTAAATTAAGTCATATTTAGTCACTTTTAAAATTAAATTAAATTAAGTCACTCCTGATTAATTCATACTTAGAATTAAAAGAAATTAAGGTATAACAATTGAAATTAAATTAAGCCATTAAGTCACATGATATATATGAAATTAAATTAAATTAAAAATCTTAAATTGAAATTAAATTAAGTCATAGATAATTAAATCATACTTGTAAATTTTTTTTTTGAGAATAAATCATACTTGTAATTAAATGAAACTAAGTTACTCTAATTGGAATTAACTTAAGTCACATTTGATTAAGTCGTACTTGGAACTATATCAAATTAAGGCACCTTAATTATATTAAGTCATATTTGATTGAGTCACACTTGGAATTAAATGAAATTATCACACCTTTATTAACATTAAATTAAATCACACTTGAATTAAATAAATTAAGACACCCTAATTTGAAAATTACATGGCACTTGGAATTCAATGGGATTAAAACACCAAATTGAAATTAAGTTAAGTCATACTTTACTAAGCCACATGATACGCGTGGAATTAAATTTAATTGATTCTAAAAGTGGAATTAAATTAAATTATAATTAATTAAATCTTACAAATTAAATGAAATTAAGAGACCTTATTGTAATAAATTAAGTCACAATTGATTACACAATTAATATAACCTGATTGGGGTTGAATTAAATGCATTCATCACTCAATTTTAATATATAATATTATATTAACCTTTCTCTTACCACTAGAAGTGACTAAGTTTACACATCTCTACTTGAATATAAAACAATATTATATAGTTTAGCTACAATAAAAAATTAATCGAAATATTAATTTCAATAATAATCTAATATTAATCATTTAATTTCAATGAAATATTAACACAAGGGTATATTAGCAAAAATAAAAATAAAAATAATTTTAGTTTAACTATACAAACTAAATTTTATTAATCTGTATGCAAGTCAAACTATACTGAAAATTAAGAGATAGAGGAGTAATAAAAATATTGTAAATTAACAATTACTTAGGGCCCTCTCTCCATATGTGAGGAACCTGTGCAAGATCACTCATCCGAGCCGCCTCTGGAGGAAGAGCATGCAACCATGAAAGCCAAGTACCATGACCATTATGGGCCTTCTATGGTGGAATCCCCACCTCAAGGGGCTTCATTTCATGATGCTTCAGTTAGACAATAAGAGATGGAGATGGACGTTGAAACCTTCGACTTGGATAACTTGGAGATCAAGCAAGATGATATTTTTATTGATTCCGCAGGACCTATCCCCTCTATTCGCATATCGGATAGTTTGGAATCTTCCTTAGCTCAAAAGTGGAATAATATTGTGATTGTGCAAATTTTGGAACGAAGAATTGGATACAAAGCCCTTTCTCTTAAAATTCAAATGTTATGAAACCCTAGATGAGCTAATATCTTGGACTTAGGGAATGATTTTTTTCTTATCAAATTTGACAGGGGACTGGATTATGAGAATGCTCTACTCGGAGGGCCATAGCCCATGCTTGGAAGCTATCTACAAGTTCAACCATGGTCTCCAACCTTTGATGTGAATAATGCAATGATAAAAACAATGATTGTTTCGATCCGATTACCAGGTCTTCCACTTTACCTCTATTATAAATCTGTTCTAGAAGCCATTGAACAAGTGGTAGGGAGAGTGATTAGAGTGGATTATAATACTGAAGATACTCTAAGGGGAAAGTTTGCTAGACTGGCAGGATCTATAAACTTGAAAACTCCTTTGGTTTCAAAATTCTTACTCAATGGAAGGATGCAACAGATTGAGTATGAGAACTTGATTGATATTTGCTTCACTTGTGGTAGATATGGGCATAGGGAAAGCCTTTGCCCTAACAAGCACCCCGTGCCAGAATTAGTACTGTCAAAAGGGGCTAAACCCGCGGACAGCCCGTA